GTGTGTGTGTGTGTGTATTAAAGCACATTTATATGGACTTAAAATTTATTTTAAGTCCTGGCAATGCATGGTGTATTGGTGTATGTGTATGCATATACCTGAGAAAATAAGACCTCTCTTTTCTCACTAGAAGGCCCCCTGGTGGCGCAGTGGTTGAGCACCAGCTGCTAACCAAAAGATTGGCGGTTCGAACCTACCAGCCATTCCACGGGAGAAAAATGTGGCATTTGGCTTCTGTAAAGATTACAGTCTTGGAAACCCTACAGGGCCTCTATGAGTTGGAATCAACTAGACAGTAATGGGATATTTTTGGTTTTTATCACGAGCACCCCAGAAGCTGTCTTGTCCCTTGGAAAGGCTTCCTTAAATCCAGGGGTGAACCTAGATCTCTTCTGCAAATCACAGAATAGCTTTCTGACACCCAAGTCCTTTCACAGGCAGCTGCTGTTTAAAATGTTGGCTGACAGAGAGTTTCTTTTTCAATGCTTTTTAACCGTGAGGTTTGTCTACAGCGGTATACACCACATTCCATATTGGAGTTAACCCGTTTCCATGTTCACTCTTAACCTTGTCTTAGTCTTCTAGTGGTACTGTAACAAAAAATACCACAAAAGAGCAGGAATTTATTCTCTCACAATTCTGGAGGCTAGAAGTCCGAATTCAGGGCGTGGCTCTAGGGGAAGGTCCATCTTTGTCTCTTTCAGCTTTCAGTATCCAGCAATCCTTGGTGTTCCTGGGTTTGTAGGCGCATCTGCCTCTGTCTTCCCATGGCATCCCCTCTGTGCGTGTGTGCCTAGTCTGCTCCTTTGATAAAACAGCACTTAGAAGGGATTAGGTTTAGGACCCATCCTACTCTGGTATGACCCATTAATAGAAGAAAACCCCTCTTTCCAACAGGGTTGTATTTATAGATACAGGGTCTAGGACTTCAACATAACTTTTTGGAGGACACCATTCAGTCCATAACAACCACATCCTTTTCATTGTAGAGTAATATTTGACAATGAGGTAATAGGTTTGTCCAGTGCAACGTGAGGGAGACCGAATGGAGGGCAGGGATGCCTTCTCCAGACTGGCATGGAAGTTTTTTATGGATGTCTCAGATCTGCCTTTCTGGGGCATCCGATTGTTTTAGTTCTGATATGTTTGGTCCAGGATCCATCTTTTCTTCCGCTCCCTTCCCACACCCTCCAAACAACTTGAGCATGGGTAATTTTAATACTCACAGATACTTGTTCTTCTTTGTCAGTACTGCTGTGGCACACTCCCCTATTGATGTGGATTATGTATGTATTCTCCTTCACTTATCTATGTGCCTGAAGAAGGGGGTGTGTTGAGCAGGCTTCTGCTGCGTAGGGTCTCACATCACAACATGGTAGTGAGTTTTGAACATATTAACCTTTTATCAGTGGCAGTGCCTGGGTCTCACCTTCTCGGACCCTCTCTCGCTTTGCGTCTGTCGACTTAGGTCAGGAATCTTGTAGGGGAGATCAGTGTGTGTTTAACTGTTGGTACTTCCTCCCTGATGAGGAGGAGGATGTTTCCAGATGGAAACCCGATTCCTTGGTGTCCTGAAAAACGCCAGAGTTTTCCAAGTAGCTTCATGTAACAGTAGCAGATGGGCAGAGAAGGTGAAAAAGAACCTAAACGCACAGAAGAGAATCTCCACTTATACTGACCTCAGTGTGGTCTCCACGACTCTCTCCCTAAAGCTTTGGCATCAGTGAAATGAATCTCTTAATTGATCAGAATAAGTATGTTCTTATTTTAGATTAAAGGGAAGATGTATTCGTTTTCTAGGACTGCCGTAATGAAGTACAACATAATGTGGCGCTTAAAACAGCAGAAATGTGTTGTCTCACAGGCGTCTAGGGATTGGCAGGTCACGCTTTCTTTGTCTGCAGCAGGGGAAGATACTTCTTTGTCTCTTCCAGCTCCTGGTAGCCCAGATGTTCCTAGGCTTGCAGCTGCAGTGTAACTCCTTAGTCACAAGGCTGTTGTCCTCCTTTGTAAGGACACCACTCAGATGGGATTAGGACCCAGCCTCCTCCAGTATGACCTCATGGCAGCTTAACTGACAACATCTGCAGAGACCTCATTTCCAAACAAGGCCGTGCTCACAAGTACAGGGTTTAGAACTTGAACGTATCCCTTTGGGGTACACAATTCAATCTCTAACGGAAGGAAAGAGAGCCAGCTCCCACGGCTGAGCACTGAACTTGTCCCTTTTACTTGTAATCGTTACTCCTCGTAACCATTCTTAACAGGAGTATGACCTTATCTTACAGATGAAGAAACTAGCTCAGAGAAGATGAATGATTTGATCAAGAATATGTGGGGTTGGTGACAGGATGTTGTTGCTAGGTGCCCTTGAGTCAATTCTGACTCATAGCAACCCCATGTGTTACAGAGTAGAACTGCCCCCATATGGTCTTAGAGGCTATCGTCTTTACAGAAGCAAATTCCATGGAGAGGCTTGGTGGGTTCTAACTGCCAACCCTTTTGGTTAGGAGTTGAGCACCTAACCATTGCGCTACCAGGGCTTCTGTGACAGGATAAAGGACATAAATAATGAATAATGTTTCTCGCCCCATCCTGAAGTTTGGACCCATTGAGAAGGAGGAGCAGGGATCAGACAAATGAAGCTC